AAGGTCCCCCACTTGAATTGCTAACATTTCTTGCTGCTGACAGGCGGCCTCTTGGGCCTTCTCTGGGGTGGCAGCCAGCTCTTCCTTAGCCTTCATTTCACGACTCAGGGCAGCCTCCTGTGCCTCACTCTTTTCTTCAAGTTCATCCATGTCTGCTTGAAGTTGGCCAAGATCCTTCTCTTGGCGTTCAACCACAGAATTTAATTTTTTAATATTTTCTCTATGTTGTTTCTCAACCTCTTCTTTGCCATTGGGGGCCTGTTTTAAATGCTGCAATTCTTCTTCTAGATCTTTTACTTTTTTGTTCAGCTTCATAATAATATTTTCATTCTCTTTGTCTTTAGCTCTTAATTTCTTAATGATGTTAGAATTATGCAGTTGCTGTTTTGAAAGTTTTTCTCCTTCTTCCATCAATCCTAGGATCTGTTCATCTTTCTCTTTCAAAAGGTCTCCAGTTTCACTACTGTTTAATCTAGTGGCAAGTTCTTCTTTTATACTTTTATTTCCTTTTTAGCAGCATCTCTCTCTTTGCAGGCTAGCTGAACTTTCTTTTCTGCTTCTGCAATCCTTTGAGTAAACTCATCTTTCAAAGAAGAAATGCTGATACTTTCTTCTTTCACTCTGAACATTTCATCTTTCAGATTATCATAGGCTTCTTCTAGAAGTGCTTTTTCTTTACTAAGAGATAATAACTGAGCCTCCCTTTTATCCAGTTTCTCATTCAGAAATTCAACTTTCTTGCAAACATCTTCCTTCTCAGAAAGTGCCTCTGGCTGACTTTCAGCACCTTCACACTGCTCGGTCTACTTAAGACAGTATGTCCTTCATTTATTGGTGAAGAAACCAAGGTATCAGGCTGTTCACAGTTAACAGGAGTTGCACTTCGTCTACTTTCTTCCATTTGTTTCTTCAGTCAGTATAATTAATGTTTTATTTGCTTCTTCAGATTTTCCTTCAACAGATTCAACTATTTTAGTCTTTGGAGTTGAAGGGTTAACTACAATAGGTACTAAAGCATATCCTTTGCTTGACAATTCATCAACTGAATTGATTTCACTTACACTACGGCTATCTAATGACTGTACACTAAAGGAGTCCATTCTTTCAAAAGCATCTTTCAAGATGAGCAACAGCTCAGTGAGTTTTTGGAAATCATCTAAACAATTATACTCAGGACAAGCAGATGCTGAGAGAGGCTGAAAAGATGTTTGCATCAAGTGAAGACTTGATTTTGAATCTGTCATCTCTTGTCTTGAACTTGCTGAGCTCTCGCTTATTACGCTCTCATGATCTAAAACTTCAATATCACTGGTGGTAGAAGTACCTGATGAGAAGGTGCTAACAAGAAGAGAAGGTGTATTACTCTGTCTGTCTTCATGTTTTTGCTCCTTAGGTTCCAAAGCCATGTCCTTTGTTTCTGTTGTGAGAGACTGTGTAGACATATTAGATGTAGACATATTAGATATGTTTTCCCTGGTTGTTTTCACATTAATTGCACTTTCAGATACTTTCAGAGGCATGACTGACACCTGCGTATCAGATTCTTTATTAACAGTTTCTTCATGCCTGCCTTCAGTTTTAGGTGACAGACTATCTAATGCCAGACCTTCCCCGGACACACATGGAGAAGGGTCTTTTACTTTTGACTCCGTTGTTTCGCTTGTTCTTGACTGCCCAGTGTGCAATGATTCCTGTAAGGTGTTTCTCACTTCTTCTTCTGGCCGTTGTGATTTTGCTGGTGGTTTTGATACCACTGGATTCGTCTGAATGGTCTGAACATCTGCTGGAGACAGAAAGGCACTGAAGAAATTTTCAGATTCATCTACCACAGTTCTCCCAACTGGCTTTGTAATTGCTTTTGGAGAGGCTACTGGTTGACTCTGAGGTTCAGTGATGGACTTTAACCCCCAGGTCGATGTATCCCATCCTCCGCTGACAGGAGGACTTATCTGGAATGGTCTCGGTCCAGGCACTCGGCTCCTCTTCCTGGATGTCCAGGACCCTGTTGATGGACTTCTGGGCCTGGGACAGGGCCTGCTTCATGAAGCTGGAGAGCTGGGAGGCGTTGAACCAACTCATCTCCCCGCCTCAACCGGCAGTGCCATGGCAGCACAAAGAGGGAAGGCCAGGGGCCAGGCCGACCGGCCTCAGGCCCGGGGAGGTGCGGCGGAACAGCCTCGCCCCCTTCTTCAGCCGGCGGGGGGCCCCGTCAGCGGGTGGCCATGACCCCAACGATCTCCGCCAACCCCTATTTTTATTTTTATATATGGCTAGAGTTAAGCGTCTTATTTTCTGCACTAGATCATTATCCCAGCATCGTTTGTTGAGAAGACTAACCCCACTGACTTGAAACCTTGGTCAAAACGCTATTGCCCTTGGTATTTGTGGATTCTGAATTCCAATTGTGTCATTCCTATTGACTCCAGACCTTTACAAGCCTCGTTTTTAGTGGCCTTTTCCCGAGTCCCCGCTGCTCTTTCCCCCTCGAAGGAGACGTCGGGGCTTGCGCTGTACCAGCTTCTTGAAATTTTCCGCCAGTAGTCTCCGTGGCTGTTCGTTTACCCATCGGTAAAATCATGTATTGCTGTTTCTCTTTTCAGAAGTTAGTTCTCTGCAGCTGTA